AAGGTTTAAATTCAATTTTTTTTAATTTTTTTTTTTTTTTTTGAAAAGATGTTCCAATTATAATACCTCCTGCTGACCAAATGACTTTGAAATTAAAAGCAATTTTGCATAGTTACATAACAATAACTATCTTAATTTCTCTGTACCGATTGTTCTGGGCTAGAAGTTATAACTATATGTACAAACATACAGGTAATATACCACTACTCTTCTTCTGCAGCTGTGATAGCCAGCATCAATGTTTACAAATTGCTAATCAAGAATTAAGAATAAGATATTCAAAATTGTGATGGTCATTTTCCAACTCTTGTGGCGTGCAGATGTTGTCCTTTTTTGTCTCAAGCTAGTCCTGGTAGGTGGTTGTAGGCTAGGTATTGAAGTTGTTCCAGAGTGTATGATAGTTGTGTAGTTCATCAGAGTTAGAATTAAGGGACCACTAACAAACACTGTTCCCCATCACCTGGGAATGATGTACATACTTATCTGTTGACATTATATGCTGGATCTTGTTACAATTTCAGAAAATGTCATTTGAATTTTCTAGGATGTTTTAAACCATATAACTTTTATTTATTCTTCCTTTTCTGTATCTCTATAAGTAGGGAACAGATGTAAATGTTGGTGTACTGTTTGAAGACTTTGAGGTGTTGCCACTAATTATTTGTGTCATATACACACCATGAGTATCACATATGTTCATGTTTTTGTGTGCCATTGATATGGGTTGTGTGCTGACTGTCACTATTTATCTAATTAATTTAACTGGTACTTATGTTTATCATAACTCCAAACAAAAGAATCTCTAGGACAGCAAATTAAATTTTGAACTCCAAAATCAGTAGACTTACATTTCTTTAACTGCTAAAATTGATTTTAATCTGTGATTTGTCAATATTTTTTTGTAAACTTGCGAACTGTAGTGCATTAGAATAATTAGCCAATACTTATTAGGAAATAGCAAACTTGATTGTATGTTCTTTGTCGTAGATACACTTTACATATTGCATGTGGTTTATGGCTGTACAATGGTATGGTTTAGTATGAGTATCACACAATGACTGAAGCATTGATTGTAAATCCTGGCCTGGATGCTGTACAACGGTATGGTTTAGTGTGAGTATCACACAATAACTGAAGCATTGATTGTAAATCCTGGCCTGGATGCTGTACAACAGTATGGTTTAGTGTGAGTATCACACAATGACTGAAGCATTGATTGTAAATTCTGGCCTGGATGCTGTACAACAGTATGGTTTAGTGTGAGTATCACACAATAACTGAAGCATTGATTGTAAATCCTGGCCTGGATGCTGTACAACGGTATGGTTTAGTGTGAGTATCACACAATAACTGAAGCATTGATTGTAAATCCTGGCCTGGATGCTGTACAACAGTATGTTTTAGTGTGAGTATCACACAATAACTGAAGCATTGATTGTAAATCCTGGCCTGGATGCTGTACAACAGTATGGTTTAGTGTGAGTATCACACAATAACTGAAGCATTGATTGTAAATCCTGGCCTGGATGCTGTACAACAGTATGGTTTAGTGTGAGTATCACACAATAACTGAAGCATTGATTGTAAATCCTGGCCTGGATGCTGTACAACAGTATGTTTTAGTGTGAGTATCACACAATAACTGAAGCATTGATTGTAAATCCTGGCCTGGATGCTGTTTAAAGGTACGGTTTACTGTTAGTGATTTTGAAATTTTATCACAAACTTAAGTACAATGCCAATGCAGTATCATTTGGTATATAGATGACTTTGGTGCTTATAATTATGCATGGATTATATAGCTTTTTGTGTTAGGAAAGGTTATCAATTAATTTTCCTGAAAGCTATATTTTTCTGGCATTTCACATGTTAATATACTCCCAACATGAATTATTGGAGGCTGTTTCTGTAAGTGGAATTATGGACAAGTGTTTTGAGGACAGTTTCATCCTTAGTTTTAAGGTTATCAACAGACAAATTACCATAATTGTGTGTTAATGAATACAATCATGATTTCATATTAATATGGACACTTCACTTTAATCTATTGCACAAGAGAGTGTAACTAGTCCGATACATCATTTGAATATGATGATAATCTCCATTGAATATTTTGCAGATTTGATAGTTGTTAACACATGACCTAGTATGTTTGTGGGTATGTTAAGAAATAAATTACGGTGTTCCTGTATGTTGTGAGGGTAGGTTCTGAGATGGGGATTTCCTTGTATGTTGTGTCGGTAGGTTTGGAGATTGGAGATGCCCTTCTTGTTTTATGGGAAGGTTTCGAAATAGTAGTTAACTTGTATTTTGTGAAAGTGTTTTGGAGAGGTAGGGCTGAAGATTGGGGTTTGTGGGATTTGAGGGGTTTAGGATGAGTGGGAGGGGTGATGATGGGGTTACCCTGAAGGCTGTGTAATTAGGTTTAGAAATAGGAATTACCTCAAATTTTGTGAAGGTAAGTTTTGAGGAGGTTACAATGGATGTTGTGTTGTTAATTATGGAAGGGGATATTTATGTTATGTAGATGGACAGGGAGCTGGGAGAATACCTTGTACCATATGGATTAGAAATGGTTAACCCTGTCTTGTATGAGAAGGTTTGAAAGGGAGTCATCCATGGTGTGTGGTCATGTTTGGAAACAAGAAATAACAGAGATAATCAATAGATGTATTTGAGTTGTGTTGTTTTGATGAGCTAGGAGATGGGAAACGGCCCTAAACATAAATGAATGTATGTTATGTAGGTGGTCTGGCAGACTGGACATACACCTGTATGTTGTGTAGGTGGTCTGGCAGACTGGAATTAAACCTGTATGCTGTGTAGGTGATCTGGCAGACTGGACGTAAACCTGTATGTTGTGTAGGTGGTCTGTCAGACTGGACATACACCTGTATGTTGTGTAGGTGGTCTGGCAGACTGGAATTAAACCTGTATGCTGTGTAGGTGATCTGGCAGACTGGACGTAAACCTGTATGTTGTGTAGGTGGTCTGTCAGACTGGACATAAACCTGTATGTTGTGTAGGTGATCTAGCAGACTGGACGTAAACCTGTAGATTGTGTAGGTGATCTGGCAGACTGGACATACACCTGTATGTTGTGTAGGTGATCTGGCAGACTGGACATACACCTGTATGTTGTGTAGGTGGTCTGGCAAACTGGACGTAAACCTGTATGTTGTGTAGGTGATCTGGCAGACTGGACGTAAACCTGTATGCTGTGTAGGTGAGCTGGAAAGTATCCCTGTTGTGTTGAGATATCCCTGTTGAATTGCGGTATCAGTGTTGAGTTGTGGTAGCCTTATTGAGTTGTAGTATCCCTGTTGAGTTGTGGTAGCCTTATTGAGTTGCAGTATCCCTGTTGAGTTGGTAGGTACAGATATTTTGTTGGGAGACTTGTGATGCCCTGTGAATTGAAATAGTTTTGTATTGAGTTAGGATAGAAGAGACAACTTGGCATACTGTTAAACGTAGAGGTGGTGAGCAAAGAATCAAGAATAATTCTGTTAAATATTGTTACAAGTGGCTGAAATTATCAGCTCATCAAATACATTGGAGGACTTTAGCTTAGTGTGTAGATACATGTAGTCATTAGGAACAGATTTTGTGTTAGTTTACACATTCCAATGCAAGTTATCAATTGTCAATTTTCACATAAATTATGATACAACAAAATATTGAATACTGAATGTTAGATTTGCATGTGTTAACTAAGGTATAATGTATACTATGAGAATTGTCTTTTTCAATATATGTGTATAAGTAATTGCTGATCTTTTTTTTTTTTTTTTGCAAATAAAACTTTGAAAAAATGATGTTAATGTATATCTGATTAATTAAGTGAATGAACACAGACAATACTGTATACCATAGTATGTACAGCTGTTATCCATCAGACAATACTGTATACCATAGTATGTACAGCTGTTATCCATCAGACAATACTGTATACCATAGTATGTACAGCTGTTATCCATCAGACAATACTGTATACCATAGTATGTACAGCTGTTATCCATCAGACAATACTGTATACCATAGTATGTACAGCTGTTATCCATCAGACAATACTGTATACCATAGTATGTACAGCTGTTATCCATCAGACAATACTGTATACCATAGTATGTACAGCTGTTAACCATCAGACAATACTGTATACCATAGTATGTACAGCTGTTATCCATCAGACAATACTGTATACCATAGTATGTACAGCTGTTATCCATCAGACAATACTGTATACCATAGTATGTACAGCTGTTATCCATCTGTTTGTCACCCTTTTCTATAAATTACTAGACGTGAACGACAAAGCGGATTTTGTTCAAATTCAATCAGAAACATCTGTGGAGGAAGTGGAGAAATTTTTGTATAAGCATTTGGTCTTTGCTACCTGGGGGCAGGGACCCAAAAAGGGGAAATAGAACGAATTCTTTTAAATCCTACTTCTCCTGTAGGAACATTGAATTTTGTCCGAATTTGGTATGAAGCATTCTTGGGTGAAGGAAATCAATTTTGTACAAAACAGTGAGTCTCCATCCCCCGGGACAGGAGAGGTTTGGCCCACTGAGGTAACAAAGGTAACTGAGGTAATAAATGTTAAAAATTCCTTATGCACCTCTTGATATTAGGTCACCAGAGACAAAGTCTAATGGTGACCAATTCTAATACCCTTCATCCGGCATCATGCGTTGTGCGTGTGTAAACAATTGAACACTTTCGACTTCTCAAAAACCCTGATCCAGTTTCAATGAAATTTTGCAGAAACATTTCCTGGTCTAAGATGAACCAAATTTGTGAATTATACAGTCCCCATACCCCAGGGGCCTGAGGGGCGGGGCTAAAAGGGGTCAAATTGACTCAGATTTCAAAAGTCTTCTCAAGAACAAGATATGGTAGAATCAAATACTCTTCATAAATAGAAGCATCTTAAAGTGCTTTACCAAAATTTTGAATTTCATGGCCCCAGGGTCTCATATTCCTGTAGGGAGGGGGTAAAGTTTACTATACATGTAGTTTATATAGGAAAACTAGATTTTTGAGCATAATTTGTTCAATTTCCATAGGAAATATTTCAAACTTGGTAAGAATAAGAAGTGAAGGATGACGGCTTGATGATATGCCAATTTTGATCCTGACTGACCTATACAGAAACATTTGAAAACAATACAGATGATAAGACAAGGTGTTCCGAATGGTTTAGTCAATACAGAGAGAATAAGGCCAGGTGTTCCGGATGGTTTAGTCAATACAGAAAAAATAAGGCCGGGTGTTCCGGATGGTTTAGTCAATACAGAAAGAATAAGGCCGGGTGTTCCGGATGGTTTAGTCACTACAGAGAGAATAAGGCCAGGTGTTCCAGATGGTTTAGTCAATACAGAAAGAATAAGGCCGGGTGTTCCGGATGGTTTAGTCAATACAGAGAGAATAAGGCCAGGTGTTCCGGATGGTTTAGTCAATACAGAAAGAATAAGGCCGGGTGTTCCGGATGGTTTAGTCAATACAGAGAGAATAAGGCCAGGTGTTCCGGATGGTTTAGTCAATACAGAGAGAATAAGATCTGGTGTTCCGGATGGTTTAGTCAATACAGAGAGAATAAGATCTGGTGTTCCTGATGGTTTAGTCAATACAGAAAGAATAAGGCCGGGTGTTCCGGATGGTTTAGTCAATACAGAGAGAATAAGGCCAGGTGTTCCGGATGGTTTAGTCAATACAGAAAGAATAAGGCCGGGTGTTCCGGATGGTTTAGTCAATACAGAGAGAATAAGATCTGGTGTTCCGGATGGTTTAGTCAATACAGAGAGAATAAGATCTGGTGTTCCTGATGGTTTAGTCAATACAGAGAGAATAAGATCTGGTGTTTCGGGGGATTTAGTCAATACAGAGAGAATAAGGCCAGGTGTTCCGGGTGGTTTAGTCAATACAGAGAGAATAAGATCTGGTGTTCCGGATGGTTTAGTCAATACAGAGAGAATAAGGCCAGGTGTTCCGGGTGGTTTAGTCAATACAGAGAGAATAAGATCTGGTGTTCCGGATGGTTTAGTCAATACAGAGAGAATAAGATCTGGTGTTTCCTGGGATTCAGTCAATACAGAGAGAATAAGGCCAGGTGTTCTGGATGGTTTAGCCAATACAGAGATAATAAGACAAGGTGTTCCGGATGGTTTAATCAATACAGAAATAATAAGACAAGGTGTTCCGGATGGTGTAGTCAATACAGAGAAAAAAGATCTGGTGTTTCGGAAGATTTAGTCAATACAGAGAGAATAAGGCCAGGTGTTCAGGGGGATTTAGTCAGTAAAGGAAAAGAAGACCGGGTGTTCCGAAGGGCGTAGTATATTCATTTTCATCGAGGACACCTGCTATTTAAATCCGAGTATCTCGAACAAGAATAAGGTTAAAAAATTTAACCCATCATGTATACTAACGAAAACAGAACACATATATCATCATATCGCACAAGGAAAGTGGGATTGATAATGATGGCGAACATAACGCTTCCCTAAACTTCTCATGAAATCTTATGTTGTGATCATGAGCTTTTTTCGTTGGCAAAGTTTGCATATTTTATTTGTAACCCGCGTATTGAAATAGAACCCTTCCTAAAATTAAATGAAAAAAAAAATGTAATCATTTTATTTGTGAATGATGCCAGATCATATTCAACAGACGTTAACAGTAAAAGATGATCTACATGAAAATATCAGTAACGGCGATGGAATAGAGTTAGTACCTATTACTATAATGCTAACATCATATAGGAAGCGGGACGAGAGGGGTTATGTCTCAGTTTCTCTATATCACCTCGATTCAGGCGTGGTTCGATTTGGTCTTTGTGGCTTACCTTATATAGAAGTATTTTACCAGATGTTTCTAGGTGCATTACTGTAATAAAATCTAGCCGGAGAAATTCTATGAGATCTACTTCCTGTTTAATTCAATTATCATTTTGTTTCTTCTTTTTATAGACGATATTGTGAAAAACATCCAAGCCCAAATCAAACTGTTTGCTGACAACACCTCATTGTATGTTTTTTTTAATTGACACGGATATTGATAATGAAGAAATGAAACAAATATATAAATAACGAACTAAGTAAAATCCATGAGTTTTCAACAAAAGGGTTGGTAGACTTAATCCGACAAAAACTGAGACCTGAAAAAAACCCACTTCAATCATTCCTCGGTGAATGATAAACAACACTTGACTTACCGAAGTTAGTTTACAGAAGCATCATGGTCTCTTTTTATCTAATTATGGTGGCTGTCTGACCATATGTTCTGTTAGAAGATTTAAGAAGATTAAGGATGGAATGCAGTACACATAAATTTCATCTATTCCGTAGAAATCTTGTCGACAATCATTTAGTCATTTGTAATAAAGAAAAACAGATCAACGACCACTTTTTATTACGATTTTGCCGAGCTTCGGGTCCGTTGTTTTAGCAGTGTGAACCTTCCTATCTCAACAGAAACTCAGCTTTAAGGTAATAGCAAGCTTACAGATAATGAAAATTCATTTAATTTATTCCGCATTCAAAACATTATAATCTGTTCTAAGAGATTCAAACGATCGATTTAGCCTGATACCCAAATAAAACGCCTACCATTCATTCATTAATTTTCTCATTTAATGACGTCCTACAAATTAATGTTTTACAAACGGAGACAGATTTATATGAGTTGTAGAATGTGTTTCTGAATCCGATTCAAATGTAATTCCCGACCTATGTTATATGTATATGCGTGTATGTGTATGTATATGTTTATATGTGTATGTGTGAATACAGGACCTGCATGTTTAGACGGATGGTGTTAGGGCCTGCATGTTAAGATGGATGGTGTCAGGGCCTGCGTGTCAAGACGGATGGTGTCAGGGCGTGCATGTTAAGATGGATGGTGTCACGACCTGCATTTTTAGACAGGTGGAGTAGGGGCCTGCATTTCTAGACAGGTGGAGTAGGGGCCTGCATTTTTAGACAGGTGTAGTAGGGGCCTGCATTTTCAGACAGGTGGAGTACGGGCCTGCATTTTTAGGCAGGTGGTGTAGGGGCCTGCATTTTTAGACAGGTGGAGTAGGGGCCTGCATTCTTATTAGTATGTAGAAGATGCATTTGTCCTTTTGAAAAGTTGTGGTCAGTATTGGTCATTGGATAAATCGCCTCTCAGTCACAGATAGTCATTTACACATTCAGCCATGTCAGTCGGATGTATTTTTTTAGTTCATCGTTTATAAACAAAAGAGGTATCAGCGACAAATTACTTTTTAAGATTTGTAATTAATTTTGCAACACTCCACCTTTTTCTAAATGGTATAGCTATAAGTAAGATAGTGTTGTGTAGCCTCTCGGATTTAGGAAATGCAGTCCAAGAGGTTTTAAACAATTCAAAATGTTGACATAGCTTTAGTGTGATGTCATTATTTCTCCTTTATCATTGAGTCTAGTAGTTACCTTTTTACGAGGCACATGTACATGCATAGCGTGAGATTATTATCAGTAAGAATGTCATTCATATTGTCAATATCAGATTGCAGTTTAATAGTCCGCTTGACTGATCTTAGGTATTCGTAAGCTCCGTCAAAATTAACTCCTTTATCTGCGTGCTTTAAATACAATGTGAGCACTAACATGACCGTGAATACCACAGAAACAAGAGTGCACTATGGTATCATAAATTACATAATATCTTTAGTGGTTAGATATCCAGTGATTGTCACAGAAGAGAAGTAACCTTGAAAAGTTCTGACACAGTATTTTTATACATTTTAAACATATTTTTGTTTTGATAAAAGGCTGCGAATTTTCGAGTAAAGATTAATATTGAACATATCTAGATTTATATCTCAACATAGTAACTTCTCGTTTGTAGATCTGCATCAACATTAGTATCAAGTCTGTCCCAATAGTTTACCACAGAGTTCGAGGGTCTATATATGTAAGCAGACAAGAGGAATAAGCTTATTATGACGCATTATTTCAGTCTATATCAACTAAATGTCAGTTGACTCCAGATCGGGTCTTTAAAGTCATTGTTATATGTATCTGAGATCAGGATATCGCAATCTTTGTTTTTTCCTAAAACATTACTGTAATTTCCCAATCAAGTATTTTTGTCAGAAATAGAATCACTGAGAGGAGTTTCAGAAACACATAGGATGTCGAATTAAGATGTCATTAGACAATTTAGGGCCAGAAACTGAGGCTTTGTTGCTTCCTTAACGAACAGTTCTTGATGTGACATGTTATCAATTATACTGGACATAAATAGTTAGGGAGCACTTTTTAAAGATATTTTGTTATATCAAAAGGCAAACACTTTTGGAATATGAAATCCAATCGTGAAGTCAAACAATACAAAACAAGTTTTAATCAATTTCAAGCGTGTCGTGATTACATAAAAAGTTCACAACACTAGGCTAGAACGAAGTTGAAGTCCCAATGGCGCTGAAAATTCAAAATGCTTCAGTATGTTCAGCGACACTATCCAAAGTAAATGTGTCCTTCATTGGCCCCAGTAACAAAACGATATTGGTTTAGCATGCTGTGAATCAGTCGCCGTGTAACCATTTGTCGAATTCGTGGCCATTCTTGACGAAGAACATCAGCAAGCTGCTGTCGGTTGACAGGTCCTCGCACACGATCCTTAGTGCGTTGCTGTAACATGTTCCACGGATTTGGTTAAGGTCGGATGAAAGACTAGGATAGTTCATACGCTCGAAAGTTTCTTCTTGAAGGTACTCATCCACACGTCTAGCTCTGTGTGGTCAAGCATTGTCGTCCATTAGTACCCGTAAAAGGATTTCATCCCGCTACCGTACACATGCGAGACTACACCTTCAATCACGTACAAGCAGTCCGATGATCAACACTGATTCCTGTTCAAACCATTACCAAGCCCCCACCGAAACAGTCATGCTCAGTGACGCAGTAATCAGCTTACCTCTCGTCCATCCCAAGCCAAACACTCCTCCTGCCATCATGAAAGTCCTCGCATACCTGGACTCATCCGTAAAAACAAAAGGCCGCCACTGACTCCGTCGCCGATTCACATGGCCTGCTGCCTAATACTGCCGATCTAAAATGACGAAAATTTATTATAAAAAAGCATACGTAAAAAGACGTTCTACATATTTCCTTGTGTGATATGGAGTTGGACGTGTTTAATATTCCTTAGTTTGACTGGTGGTTCCGTTGTTGTAGTCAAAATAGGGATATAGGCGTAGAGAGATTAGAACGGGTGTTCACCATCATGGCTCGCGACGCGGCTCGGTTAACATACGGGGCACAGGTTCACTTCGTTCATGTGACCAATATCAGAGGCAGACGTACGTATTCCTCCAGTAGTGAACCTTCAATGTTAGACAACTCTAGTAAAAGGGAGGCGAGTAACCACGACTCCAGTGATAACTCTGATGATGGACGGAGGGGACATCATCATCGTCACAGAAGTAAAAGCCCACAGAGACATTAAATGTCCACAACCTCAGCGAAGGAAAATCGGAGCCATTTGCCCTCAAGTTTGAACGCATAATTGAGGAAAATCATGTTCGGACCGTGAAACAATAACTCGGTTTTTGACTGTTTAGTTGGTGATACGTTGGAGTATGCTGATAAACTCCACAATACACCTTCTTTCCGAAGATTGGAACAGAAGATGAAGGAGAGATTTAGCAATAAAGATGTTTCTGTGGTGGTTGGCCGGCCGAGAACTCCAGTATGTTAAACAGGAAGAAACGGAGAGTTTAGCCGAGTTTGCTCTGACTTTGACATCTGATGTGTTTGCTCACGCTGACCACATAACACAAGAACAGCAGGCTACGAAAGTATTCCTAAAAGACTGTAGAGAAAGGATGGCGGCACAACGTACGATGGAAAGGAACCCTTAGACAATACACAAGGCGCTTATGTGCATTAGGTCATCGGTTGTTAACTAACGAGTGTTAATTGGGTCTAGAATCCCTCATGACCCAGCTAGGCAGGTGGAGTTTGCTGAGGATACTAAGGATGATGATGAAAAGGAAACAATAAAAACATTTCAACAAAAAATGAAGGATTTAAGAAAGTCTTTATTATTTATCCATGTAGGTACTGGATATCAGCATCCATATCTACCACCACTGCATGGTAAATATCATTATGGTTACCCTCCATATCCCATTGGTAACCACACAGGTAACCAAGGTAATCAGCTCGAGTACCCACTTTAACTTCAGGGTTACAATCAAGCCAAGTATAAGGATAGAGGCTGTGAACAGCATCAAGCATCAGAGCCGTGATCACCAGGAGCAACCACCAATGAGACAACTTATGGACCCCCGGTTCCTCATTCGAATCCTAAACGAGAACGCAAGAAGGGCCTTTCCTTCGTAATGGGCCTTAAAATCCACCACATCCTAATCAGTCAGCACCACTTGCACTATCACTTACTAAGGCTCTGTCTTAAGCTGTCAACCTGATAGAGCCTAATGAGGAAAGAGCTCTTCTGGCCATCAGAAAGGCAGACAGGGCTACTGAACATCGTTGTGGTATAAGCCACAGGTAGCACAAGAACCATCCCGTAGCCATGGTCAACAACGTTTAATGCTTATCCATTTAAAGTGACTGTTAGCCCTCCATAGGGTTGGCGAATGTATAGGTATGAGGTTCGGGCTTGTGGAGCCTGCCCGCTGTGAAGGCTTCAGGCCTGGACCCAAAAAGTCCAGATTAGTTCACCCTATCCCAGGGAGAGGGGGAATGTTACTGCCAACCGACCAACCTTGATGTTGTAGGAGCTTTAGCTACCTATATAACAATATGCTCATTCATAGTGGTTTTCCGGATTCATAAAACTGTATGTGTGTATACTTCTTAATTCTTACTTGTTCGTCCATCGAAATATACCACCCACAGAGCTTGGGTTTCGGTGGCGACTTTCAAATGTGCTATAGTCCGAAACCCTATGCGCTTCAAATGGCTCTCTGAGGATTGTGGTATTTATTTCCTGGTTGTAATAATTGACTTAACGTGGACACGAGATCTCGTGGTGCTCATGTGACAATATAGTCCGCTTTCTTGACTGGTTGCCATCTTGGATTGTTCATTTATCTTCACGGGGCAATGAAAGACACAATGTACAATTTGCTGTAAGAGATTCAATAATAGAGATAGGTAAACAACTTATATTGTATTTAGTGGTGAATGGGCATTGATAGTTGACTAAAATCACTCATGATACGTGTATTTAAACACTTCCGGGAAAGACATGTAAGGAACTGCCAATGTGATGTGAAATGTCAACTGTATTCAACTAGATACTTTGGAAGGGTGTTATACTTTACTATTTATTTTAACATATTATAAAATTAGGGGTTCTATGGTGTACATTTACACTCGATACGTGTTTTATTTATAGACAATCACGCTATGCACTATCTATGACTTAGTAGTAGTGTGCATTGTTATGTCAGAGGCCTCGATGTTGATCCCAAGAGGAATTATTCCCGTCCCCTGGTAAAGAATAAAACTGAAATCTTAGAAACTGCCAAATGTAGCATTAAGCACCGTGTAAGCCGACACCTAGGAATTGTAGGACGAAATTCCATACAGAATATTCAAAATAGATTCTTACAACCGAGCATGTACGACGATAGCTGGTACACTAATCTTAACACAAACATATTGTTCTTCACGCTATTGTTAAAGAGTTTAATTGATAATTGTGTTACTGCAGTAAGTTCAAGATTAACTTGTTAACTGTTTTTTTTCTTTAACACTTAACCACCGGTTACATAATCTCCAGTGATCAACATACCACATAAGATGAAACTATTATACAAAATGCCACACAATTACATAGGTATAGAATATTCTACAATTTTACAAGCTTTCTGACATACCACGTGTTACAAAGAGAATACCAACTGATTTTTAAAAGTCCAGATTATGAGAATGTGAAACCATTTAACATTTGTTTACCTTTGTTTCAGGTCTTGATAAACCAATACAGAAACACTAAACAGACGATATGAAAAACAACCTCAGAATGAGACCATACGTTCCAAGTAAAGAAGAACTTTTTATAATTCTGATTTTGTTATATATTGAGATCTATGAAAAAAAGAAGAGAAAGAATAATGTCTGCCAAACCAAAAGGTTAACACTTCTGGCCGATTTCGACATTAAACATATTATGGTACCCGTGTATGTCGTATCCCTTCGGCCGCGACGACTTAATAGCGGTAACACTCGGGTACTACCCGATGGTGGGGATCTCAACGTGGCACATGCTCTACAGCAACCAGATCATCCTTACACGGCCGCCCAAAGTAATCGAAATGATGATTTAATAGGAGCTGAAGCGGTAAGTTTAAGAGGAGTATTCTGTGTTTGAAGTTAAAAAGCTGTGGAGGAACACCTGCTTGTTGAAGCTGAAAATTTACGATTATTATTATGTACTTGAAGTAAACTAGCTGTGAAGGTAACACGTGCATATTAAAGGTGTAAGTGAACGATAAATATTCAGTTCTTGAAGTAAACTAGCTGTGAAGGAAACACGTGCTTAGTGAAGGTGTAAGTTAACGATAAATATTCAGTACTTGAAGTTAACTAGCTGTGTAGGCAGCATAAGTTGAAGCCCTTGTCATCGTGCACTAGAACAGTGAAAATAATGTAATTCAAAACCCAAACTATAAACAACAATTTCTTCAGCATACACAAGTTACAATCAACTACACTCACTGATCTACTAGTTTGGGACATGACGCCAGTGTTCAGAGAAATAAGTGAGTTCAGTTTATACTTGAGTGCATGAAATTGTATGTATTGAGTCACATTACAGGAAGCGGAAGCAAGAGGCGGAAACGAGCACAGAAATAGAGACTATAACATACATGATGATGCAACAAGGCGTGCGGATAACTTAAACGGTACGATGACAGTAAAAAAAGCTTCGATTTGGTCCCATCAGTTTTAAGTTTCAGACAAATTAGAGTTAAGCGACTGAGCAGTTCCTCAGACTTAATCCAGTTGAGGCGAAACATACTATTACTTTGCTGATCTGTTTCAATTTGCATACACAGTGACACGATTAAGACTATTTACATGCCCTAATAATACTTTTTCCAAAACATAATCAACTGAATAATTAATTCCCATGCTATTTGTACATTAACTTTACATTCAGCCGATTTTATTGTCCTAATAAGTTTGTAATATGTTCATAAATTAATCCCTCAGTATCCCTGACAAGAGGACACAATGGCATCCATGATGCAGTTAAATTCATTTCTGGGGAAATCACTTACCTAGTGCTTAATTCAAAGTAAAATATCTATTCATATACATTTTCTTTGTTCATTCCTAAGATATCATGAATAGGAGTAATAAAGCGGGTAACAGAAATGATCTGGAGTAGATGGGTATGAGGAAAATAAGGATAATAGAGAAGTGAGAATAAATAAACTTGTTTCTCTGTGAAATATAAATCAATTCCAAGTTATTGTATTGTTTGGAAATACATTGTGTCCGATACATTATTTTAATCGAAGCAAAAACTTCTCAGGTTCTTGAGATCACTATATTCAATCATTTATATACCCTATACAGGAAGAGGGAGAAGATTTCTATCAATCAAGGTTCGTTATCAAGGGTCAGAAATAACACTCCAGGTTCAAAAGAGCACACCTGTCAATGATTTTATACGTTCTAGAGAATTTGTTACAAAGGTAAGCTACCTTTAAGTTCGTGAAATTTAATCATGTTCAAGTATACAACTTATTTATCGCATATTCATTAACGCGGGTTAATTCACAGGAGTATTTCTACCGTGATTTGACTATTCAATTGGAGTAACCAGAAGTTAATTTATTTATCGTTAAATATTTCTCTATGCTGCAGATAAAAGCAAACAAATAAAACAATGGTTGGGTAATATTAAAATACTTTATTCAAAGGTATCTGAGAAGTGGAGTATTCCGGAACATGACTTGCAGAATATGGTACTTAGGAATCAAGATCGCGTGATTGAAACACTGGAGTTTGACTGTATACTACACTTACGTGCAGGTCATACTGATTTGTTTCTTGAATCTTTCCCTTCGCCATAATTATGTCAATAGGAGTTGTATTTATACAAGGCAAACTTCAAGAACAGAGACAAGAGGTTCCAAAGTTGAAATAAGGACTTATGATGTTAACATGTCGATTGATTCAATATTCAAGGGCTTGTTTGATAATCACGATTGTCGCCAATGACGAACAAATTCGTAACAAAATTTTTAAAACGTCGCAGATGATGAATATATATAGAGAATTTGTACGGTCGTCAGAGTGATTCCATTGAGAGACATTCTGTCTTTGTGTGATATATAAATCTTGTCGTGTTTGATGTTGCCAGGTTGCCTGTTGGTTCAGTTGTTGTATACCATGTTATCAGTAATTAACTCCACATTATTCACTTGGATTATATGGCCGATGTCGCCGATGAGACAGAAGACACGTAACCAGTCTGATTCTCCTTGTACTTTTTTTTTAAAAAAAGTAAATTTCAACGAAATTGAGATTTTATAGCTTTTTCTGTATATTTTTGTAAAACCAGAGTTGAATACAATAATACCTAAATCAAATAACTGTTTTCGGAATCATGTTAATTGAACTCGTACACAAGTTAACAAACAAGATTTAGGTTTTCCAACATATGGTTATTTGATCAGTACAGCAACGCGGTCAGTTTCTGATAATCCCTTTTATGACATCAATTAAGAAATTAGCCCGACCCTTACTCTAACGTCAGTTCTTTGTTAAAGAATTATCGTACGTGTTTGAGTCAATTAAGGCTCAGGTAATCTTGCATAACCGGCCTGTCAGATCGCTGTTTTTCTCCAATTTCTTTGCCCAAACCCACGCTAACATTTGACCAATCAGAGCTAAGGTCAGAGTGGAAATAAGTTTTTTTATGAGGCCGCTTAAGGGTAAATTACCCATTCTTTATTATAGTAGCGCCTTAAATAACCCTCCTGGTACCTCACCTTGATTCGGGGGGCACCTGAGTATGTAGTGTCGCGTGTCCAGCTGGTCACTTGAAGCTGCGACCCCAATAAAGAAAGATACATGAAACTTACCAGGCTGCCTCCATTATATTTTACAGGTGAGCAATTTTCTCTTTTTACATGTATTCTATTTTATATTTTATTTGTCTTTGTTGAAGATGTTCATAATCATTGTGTGAGATTTTCATTGTTGGTTGATATTTGATTTTGTATTTTTATTACATTTTATTTGCCTATTCTTGATTTATGCGAAACAAAGAATTCATATTTTTCCCTCTTATAATCTTTTCGACCTTCAGATTGTTAAAATCCATATACGGTAGAGTTTTGTTAAATTTGATAACTAGAATTTGATTTAAGACATTCAGAAATAACGTTGTTTTGTGTGGAAAACTTTATATATTTCTTTAGGAAAATTTCTAATGTTTGAGGAACAAAGTGTTAGAAAGGATAAGGCATAAATAAGTATCCAAACTAAAAGAGAGATCTTAACCTAAATTGGCATATTGCTATTTTGATGTGAATTTGTACATATCAAAGATTTTGGTATTGCTACCGCACTGATTGTGCAAAACTGTTCCAAATTTTGAAATAGAGTTATGTCCCTTTACAAACTCATAACATCCGTCTTGAATGATAAAAGAACACATGCTTGTGTAGTTTTACCTGAAAGATAATGATGATCTATCGTTGTACATATAGCAGTTTGACAATGCTCGATCAAGAGTATAAGTACCGATTATTTAGCTGAAATCTGTGCAGTTTAACATTACCAGTAAGAAATCATGTTTTTATGTATATTATCGTGTAATGCGATTAAGCAGAAAGTCCCCTGATGTTAATGTTAACATGATAGATTTTCTGAACCGTGCGTCTTATTTGTTATGTACTTTATACCGACTATTAACGTTTTGCATGTGAGACAAGATACGTTAGCTGAAATAATTGAACATCTGAGTAAGCGTAATTTGGCATCATTTCATCTTACATGATAAATAAGACATTGTAAATACCCCCCCCTCTTTTACGAACTTCATTCATTCATTTATTCCGTAAACCGGAAGTTCATTCCAAAACCGGAAGTTAGTCATATAAACAGGAAGTAAATGTTCCTAATGTAAATAAACATTCCTGT